AATCTATAAGAACCTGCCCCACTAGCCTTCAGTGATTTAGCGCAAGAAATTGCCTCTTTATTTCCACCTGATTTTAGGCGAATGCAAATCCCCATGTGGTACTGGGATCATGCTGCTCACACCGACGAAAGAGCCTCGTCTGTGCAGTCCGACCTCACCGTGTCCACAGTCACATTGGTGCCATGTCGGCCTCACTCCAGAGACCACCGTATGCTGCTCCACCGGTGAGAAATTGAGCAGGTCTCAACTATTTTCCTATATACTTGAAACTTGACTTCAGTACCCAACACTTGTGAGCTGCCACTGATGAAAGGCAACGGTAATTCGCATTTAACTCGTTGGCACTTCGACAGTAACAAAAAGAAGTGCGTGAAGTTTATCTACAGCGGTGAAGGAGGAAATCAAGTGAGTCACGCATACGTTACCAGTCAAATCCACACCCCTTTAAATGCCTTTCGTTCCCAAGTTTAATGACAGTACATCCTCTGCGATTGCGGACCGGTCCTTTTGAGGGATTCTACCATAGGCTAATTAGGTGCCTTCAGAATAGTAGGTCACACATGCCTAGTCAGACCGGCTTTATTGTGAAACATGACACTTTTAGAACATGTTCCTCACACAAGATGACTGTCAAGCGATCTGTCCCGTGTACGAGAATCCATGTGGCAGCGGGAAACCACTGCTGATTGGCAGCGTGCCAAAAGTGTGTAGTCCAGCACAACGATGTCCCTCTACGCACTTCTGCCATATTGGTGTGGACGGTTCAGATAACTACTGCTGTCAGAAAAGTAAGTCATCTCTCAAGTATTTTTGTCCACAGCTTTAACTGGTTCACTTCCAGACGGTGATCCATGTGCCCAAGAGTTGGCTGTTGGCGAAGGAGGGTTCTCCTTGACTAGGTAACTCCATAGACATGTTAATATCATTTTTACATTGAGCGCTGTCACTTGAGATTAGTCCCCCTTGATTGGTGGTTTAAGCAGTCGACCAATCACAGGCACTTCTCGCA